GTATGAAATGTAAAAGTAATTATTCTTAACAAATATGTCGCAATACATAATGCAAGTAGAATCGCATATAAACATTTTTAAATCACGCATTGGAACACAATCTCATTCAGGTATAAATTCTTTAGGTGTTGGAATTTTTCGATTTTTCAAAGAATACTACAAAAATAAAAGGTCTAACAAATTACAAATTAACGTCTGTGATTATCGTCGGGACAGGTAAATTATAATTGATTTCTACTCGCAAGATATTTGCGCACGTTTATGAAACTGTACGACGATAATGCATTATTAGATTGTTGAAATTGAATTTGTCTACTTATGTGCTGAATATAAATGGTAGAAACGTGGTTGAACAGGTTGCGGAATTAGAAATAGTTAATGCAACACCTGTATACCATATTATAAAGCACATATACTAAGAAAACTTGAATGGATGTGTTTACAAACTTTTTGTTATTGTATATTATTAATACATTACATTATATATGATCATTTTCAATAAACATATTCTGTGAATTAGATAAACTTACCGAATTAAATTTTATGATATCAAAGCAAATGTACAAATGTAATTGCAGTACTTTTGTGTTTATTAAAAAGAAACTACTTAAGGTGTAAGGAATTTATTACATAATTTACAAATTATTTCAAATATTTTGTGAAGTTCCTGTTACTTGTTCAGGTTTTTCCGGATAAAAATTACCATCTAAATCAATTGTAACATTGCAACTTATAACATTTCGTACTGCTAGTTCAATGGCTTCATCTATATTATCAGGTGTAATAAATGTAGCAGATTCTTCTTTTGCTTTTCTAACTTCTGCATCTACTCTCTGTTGGATTGCCATATCTCTTTCTGCTTTCATTTCTTTTTTCTTCAAAATTGTTTCTATACGCATTGCTTTCTCCTTTTGCAATCTTAGTTCTCGTTCTGCAGCTACTTGTTCATTCCATGTTTTATTTATAGAACTACGAATTAAAAAATCTTCTCGGGCAATAGCTTCTAAATTATGAACCGTAGTCGCCTTTTTACTTTCTAAAAGAGTTTGCACAAGAAAAGATCTAGAACCAAAAATATTATTATTAAACAATATAATCTGGTCATGTGAGCAATAAATAAATATCTATAATATACCTCAATGATTTCATGCTCGTGCGATAATTATTGTACAACCGTTTAAGTTCTTCAGCTTCTTCTATAGGTATCACTGGTTTCACTGGTACTCTGAATATTTTTGTTTTTGCTGTACCTAACCATATTGGTTTTCTCTTCCATCGTACACATTGAATTGAAGGTAATTGAGATATTAGGTGGTCGTAACCACCTAAATTTCTAATTGCTAACACACTTGTACCCATTACAGTAGTCCCTCGTATCATTGTATTCAATTGTTATGATCTGGACCTTTAAAATGTAAATGTTTAATATCCCATTGAGGAGAACACCTCAATAATATTGCAAAAGTATCTGCTTAATAGAAACTTGATTTCGTTAGAAGAACCAAAAGTTCTAATAGACTATATAGATCTTCATTATAAACCTTCGATACTATTTATTGTTAGGTTAGGTTAGGTGTGTTGCAGTGCGCAGTACTTTATCTAGATTCTCAGACCATTATCTAGATACTTTAATGTGCCTCAAGCGCGCGAGTGCCCTACGTACTTTCAAGATTTATAATTTCGAAAATAAAGTCTTCTAATATAGAAACACTATTTTGCATTTTTCGTTTAGCAATTGAAGAGAATCTTATTACCTCTTTAAAGAAAGATATAAATTATCATTCACAAATATTTTACGTTCTGCTCGAATGGTTTTTTTTAAAATGAAACAATAAATGAAATGAATAGCATCCAATTCACTGTAATGCTTAAATATGAAATGCCCATCGCCCTATATGTACAAGAACTGTATTCTGCATTTTCCATTTACTGATTACAGCAGATCTTATTATTCTTTCGTGGAAAAATACAAATGAAAATGTATTTCATACTTCCTTGTGTTCTTTTTGCTTTTTGAAAAAATCTTTCCTGAAATAAATACACACAACAATATTCCTCGTGTAAAAATAATAGATATAACGGTGAAATAATTAGTCACACGTTTCGAGGGCCTCATTAGATACAGGGCGAATGCGCCACTGCACTCTCACCTACATTGCGGTATTGCTTTTTTTTTAAAAGCAGTACTGCTGGAGATCTGGTTCCGCTGACTACACCCTTTGCTTCGTGCTTCGAGTTTTCTGTACGGCTTCTTTTCATGATCATTTAAGAATTTTAAGTGAAGTGCATGTCAATCGCAATATCAACGAACGGCATACAAAAACAAAGGAAATTAATAATACGCTGAAAACGGGGCGGGAAAATCAAAGAATAGAAAATGTACAGTGTTAACGTGACACCGGGTAGATCGTCGGAGAAAAATTCGAAATCCGTGGAAAACGAAATGGGGATGTATAGAAACCGAAGAAAGGAATCTATTCCGGTGAAAGTTTTTAATTACCTGAAAACGCAGATGCAAGCGGAGGGAATTCCAAGTAAGGAGGATCTTTGTATGCTTCACTATTTGTTTTCTGATGCTTGCCATTTATTTATTAGTAAAATATATAATGTTACAAATATTGGTCGAGGTAGAAGAGAGCGAATGATCGGAGAAACGCGGACGTTTCGTTACAAATTAATTACACATGATCGAGAACAATTTCTTTATCCTCCTTTGTAAAAAAAAGTCTTATATTTCTCTTACGGTTATTAAACAAGAATTCGAGATCACAGAAGTGTCGATTATGCTTTGACGGTATTCCTTTCCAAATTCTGACTTCGAAAGAAAAAAAATGTCATTCTTTCCGCCGCGTTCGCTGCGGCAACGTGTTCCCACCTTAATTCGTAACTTTGATTAACATCGCAAAAATAGTTCTATATAATAGTTACAACGTAATTAATTCGTTTCAATCTGAATAAGATTAAACAATATAATCTCTTGTTGTTCGTTCGCAACATTGGTTTCAATTCTTAAATACATAAATAACGAGTATCCAATACTCTCTAAATCACATAATATGTATCAAAGATTGTATAACTTGTTCCCCATCGA